AATGCTAAATTCTTGTTTAATATTGTATTTGAGTGTCTGATAAAATAAAATGTCTACTTATAGAAAATCTACTCATAAAATGTAAACATTAGAATCAGTTATCCTTTTGTAAGTGTGTGTGTGTGTGTGTGTGTGTGTGTGTGTAATCATATTCTGGGGACAAATTTGTACCCAGAAGTGATCTAAACCTGACAAAAACTTCTTTTGGGGATATTCGGGGATTTCCTCATTGGTAAAAACTAGTAGTCCACCAATACATTGCTAAGGCCGATACACTGGCCGATGTTTGCTATTTTTTAATTATCGGCATCGCCCAGTGAGTTTTTCTATTTGGATAATGTGTCGCAAGTAGGACTTTTATTTTGACAGCTCTAAGAAGATACGCACCAAGATTCCCAATACAAACAGACTTGCATTGGCTTTATATCGTCCATTGGCTAGCCTGCTCTCTAAGATATCGGCATCAGCACATCAAAAAATCTATATTGGTTGACCACTAATAAAACTATATAAAAATACTGTAAATAAGTGTTTTAATTGTAAAAATGCAGCAAATGTTCTGTGAAGTGTTAGGGTTACAGTATTTCTAACTACCTGTACATAAAACAAAAGTCTATGTAATGTCCCCATTTAAATAGCTGAGTAAAAGTGTGTGTGTGTGCATAAGTGCGTGTCTGCTCTAGTTGCCACTCTCGGCATTTTTTGTTCTTCATGTTTGTCAGAGCTGTTTGTGCTGAGTAGATGGCTGATCTCAGAGCAGTTCCTCCCTATTGGATGATATCCAGACTCTCTTCCTGCCCACAACTTTACTGCACGGTCCCTCACTGTCCCTGAATGCACCCTCTGCCTACACGTCCTCCTCCTCCTCTCTTTTCTTTATGTCTCTCCTAATAAATCCTAATTGTTCTTGATATCGCACCCTCTCTCTGTTGAAATTGTTTGGAGATCAGGGTCTGGCTGTGGGTTCTTTTCAGCTCATGCCATGTGCTTCTGATTCCACAGAGCCATCAAGACTGTTTGGCTGCCGCTGGATTTGATTTGTGAGAGTAAGGTGGTATCTCTACCATAGAGGCGAGGACAGAATGAAATAGAAAGCAGGATCTTTTGATCATATTCTCAGAGGAAATCTGTGATTCTGGGTGTCCTTGCATTCTCACTTTCCCCTTTCTTCATCTCTCACTGTGTTCACTGCAAAACATTTTTTTGCCTTATTCTCTACACAAGATACATCTACTTGATGCAAAACTATGTATTATTATTATAATTAATATATTAAGCCTTGTGTAATGACTTTGATTACTTAATTGTAGGGAATTAATTATTGTATGTATTTTAACAACTTAAATCTTTGTATTTCCCTGGCCACGGTCAACACAATTATGATAATTTGTAAGCTATTATAGTAATTATTATGAGTAAGCTACGAGCTAGGCAGCAAGCAAGGGATCTTTTTGGCAACAGTTTTAACCTTGAAATTATATGACACCAACAATGATTCTTTATAAATGAAACATGAATTTTATTGGCTACTCTAGATTACATCAAAACTAAGCTAAAACACACAAACATACACACACACACACACACACACACATGTACAGCTCAGAAAATTGAAGGAATGAGTTAACGGAGTTGCGGTGATTCAGTGGCGTATCAGTGTCCTGTTCATCAAATCCCTACACTTGGTTTCAGATAATATATTAAGTTTATTGTTGTTATCCCATTAGCCAATTATTTTATTTTAATAATAACTAAATATTATTATATTTACATTTATACAAGAAATGTCTTGTTTTGAAAGAATATATATCTTGAGTTAAGTTTATTTTTGGTATCCCAATGTCAAATAGTTTTTTTTTTTTTTTTTT